TATCACTGCTGTCGCTGCTGTCACTACTGTCACTGCTGTCGCTGCTGTCACTACTGTCTGATTTATCTTTGCTACTGTCTGGTTTGCCATTGTCATTGCTCCCATTGTTACCGTTGCCATTACTGTCACTATCATTAGCATCTGATGTGCTGTCACTGTCATCATCATCTCCTCCGTTTGAGTCACTGTCATTGCCATTATCTTTTGATTCATCAGAGTCATAACCAGGATTTCCTCGGCTATCACTGTTATTGTCACCTTCAGAATTGACATCATCATTATCATTAGACTCATCACTGCTGTTGGGATCGTCTCCTTGCATGGATTCATCATCAAACTCATAACTGTCATATCCATCACTAGTACTCTCACTACCTGTTTTGCTGTGTGCAACCTTATTTCCGGGTTCTGATTTCTGACCAGGTCCTTGTATGTTGTCAATCTCTCCTGGTGTCTTGACATTTCCTTTGCCCATGACCATTACATGTTGTCTTTTACCCTCTTTATCTTCACTAACTTTCCCAGCTTCTTTGGTAATATTGTTTCTGTTGCCACTATTGGGACCTTCAATTTCTATTCCCTGTGGAAATATGGAGAAAAGAATGATTGGTTAGTTGGTGTTATGCTGCCAAACTGCATTGGTCTGAGGAAGACTGACTGGGGAAGGTAACCAGAGGAACAGAAGTTCAGCTTCCAATACTTCATAAACTTCTATTTGTGAAAATGTGCTTTATTCACATGAGAGAACTCTGGTATTTAGATTATAAAACAACCCGTTTGCATTTTTACTCAGTAGGAACTTGTGTGAACAGTTACATGGTGAATCAGTTATTTAGTATTAGACTTGTAAAATTGCAGTCAAATTTTCAGAAGTATCTGCTTTTAAAAATTGTTCTGTATCAAAGTCTAGTAAGAACTCTAACTTTCCCATTAAATATTCACGTAGCTTAGGTGCAAAAAGAGATGAACACCTATTACGATTTATTTTTATGTTACCATCAGTGAATGGAGAGGGAGAATTTAAACTGCCATTGAAAGAAATCAGTTTCACAAACTAACCTTATCTTGGCTCTTCCCAATAGCACTTGGCTCTGATTCATCAGTGATTTTCTTTTCCACAGCTTTGTTTTCTCTGTGATTGGGTGTTTGCATGTCTTCTATTATTTGGCTATCTTTATTTTTGGGAATACCATCAGAATCCTCTTCACTCTTGGAAGTGTTGTCTCCATCGATGTCATGGGGATCTTCTTTGTCTTCAGGGTCATCATCTTCACTACTAATTGAATTTTGCCCTAAGCTATTATCATTATCTTCTTTTCCATGAGGCTGACCCTCTTGGCCCTTGCTGTTGTTACCAGTGTCCTCTTTTCCATTCCCGGTTTCTTCACCTTCATCATCACCAGAGCCTTTGTCTTCATCCTCCTCTGCTCCATTCCCACTAGGACTCCCTTCAGAATTATCCAGACCAGCATCTTCTCCATTGCCAGCTCCACTTCCCCCTGGTGTTACTCCTTCCTGATTCCCATTTCTCTCACCTTCTCTCTGAGGTGTTATTTCACTTGTATTACCTTCATTTCCACAGGAATTCCTATTTATTTCATCCTCATGGCCTGTACTGTTATTGCTTCCATCTATTTGACGTCCATCTTCTTGGACAACAGTGGCATCCTCACTCTGACTTGCATCTCCAACATCTCCATTGTTTGAATTCTTATCAGTTTTTCTATTAACATTGGTCCCATTTACAATTCCAGCATTGTCGAGAATGCTTGCTTGTCCCCTAATGCCATTTGCTGTGGTGCTACCTTCTTTTCCATGTATCCCATCATAACCATATGTTTCTGGTTTTCCTGTGACCCCATTTTGATCTTCAGTATTCCCCTCTTCATTTACTAACATGGAATGTGTAGAGGAACTTTTCCCTCCTACTTCTCCCCACTCAGAGCCATTTTTTTCTCCTTTGTAACCATCTTCAGCATACTGTTGCCTTCCTCCTTCATTTTTATGGGGGACACTACCTTCTTTGTTGGTGTCATTGGCATTTAACTCATCCTGGAGAAGAGAAACAATTCAAAGTAAGTTGTAGATATCATCTTGAAGCACAACGAACTGAAAAGATGAGCATCAGTTTTCTGGAAGTTAATAGAATTTTAAGAACAGCTTAGAAACACATTTTACATCTTATACCTGTATTGGCACTTTTGCTCTCTCTAGAAGTTTTACATTCACAGATTTGTCAACAGCATGTCTCTCCAGTGGCTTGATTTGAGGAACCTACCAAAATGAAAATATTGGAAACTGAGAACATTCTGATTTTGTGTCCATGCATGCATGCACACATGCATGTGTACACACACACAGACACACATTTTCCCCTAAATAAAGAAAAAAATATAGAACACAAAGGCCAAAGTGTGATCTAATCAGGTAGAAAACAAAAGTGGTTTGTTTCATAGTTTATGTAGAATTTTAACTGGGCATACAGATAATTTTCACAATGGTATTACCAATTTTATTGAAGTACTAACCAGACTACTTATCTCAGGAGAATTGTCTTTTATAAAAACGAGGAGATAGACCTGTGATGTTTCTGTACAAGCCTCCCACACTAGCACAAGACCCACCTTAAGTATAACCTGGCCAAAACCTCCAAGAAAATAGCAGGTCTGACAAGAGCCAGGGCAGAAACAAAAGCTAGTAATATGCTACTTCTATGTCCTTCAGGAGTACATTTGAAATAGTTGAGAAAATTCTCAACTACATAAATACCAGTGTGCTGGATATTATGAAAACATACCAAAATGTTACCCTTAGCAGCTGGCTAATACAATTACAAATGGTTTAATTTTCCTAACTTTTTCCTTCTTGGTGTTTATCTGTATATTCCAAATTTTCCCCAAGGAGCATTAAAAAAAGTATATGAGTGAAACATTTTCTCCTATGTTGAAAAAAATTAGATTTTTTCCTGTTTTCATTTCTTGAAAATTTCTTAAAAAATGCAGGCCTCATTGATATTAGAATGAAATTGATAGGGCATGAGCAAAGATGGCTAAAGTCTCCATGACTTTTGGGCATTGAATGTAAATTAATCTGAATGAATTTTACAAATTTGTGTGTTATCGTTGTACAGGGTCCATGCTAATCTTCTCTTTATTGTTCCAATTTTACTATATGTGCTACTGAAGGGATTACAATCTGAATGAATTTTATTCTAATTTTTTTAACATTTATTCGTTTTTGAGAGACAGAGAAACAGAGCTTGCGTGGGGGAGGGCCAGAGAGAGAGGGAGATACAGAATCTGAAGCAGGCTCCAGGCTCTGAACTGTCAGCACAGAGCCTGACACAGGGCCGGAACTCAGAATGGCGAGATCATGACCTGAGCCGAAACTGGATGCTCAACTGACTGAGCCACCCAGGCGCCCCTAATTTGAATGAATTTTAAAAGTAATAATCCGGGGTACCTGGGTGGCTCAGTCAGTTAAGTGTCCAACTTCAGCTCAAGTCATGATCTCATGGTTTGTGAGTTCGAGCCCCATGTCGGGCTCTATGCTGACACCTTGCTCAGACCCTGGAGCCTGCTTCTGATTCTGTCTCCCCCTCTCTGCCCCTCCAGTGCCTATGCTCTGTCTCTCTCATGTCTCTCAATAATAAATAAACGTTAAAAAAAACAATTAAAAGTAATAATCCATCTGACAAGACATGAGTTTCAATTTGAGTAATGGGAGCATGAATTGGAGTGCATATTTGGATTTGTGGAGACCCCCAAAAATATCTTGTTAAAGTCTTTCATGCAAATCTAGATATTTAGACACAACTTATCTGCAAAATCTTAAATATATATTATTTGATGTTAGGTTAAAAGAGGTAGGAAAGTAAGGAGAGTTTTCTGAGGAACACATACTTACTGGAATGGCCCATGCTGCTGACCAAATGCAAAAATATATAATTATCTTCATTTTCTTTAGGAATATTAACCTGTTTTTAAAGAAAAAAAAATAACATGAAATTACTTATAAAGCAAAAGATGATAACCACTAATAATAAGGTATTATTTTGGTCAAGAAGCATTTGACTTTTTCCTGGGCAAGAAGAAGGCTATGACAACTCAGTGTTCCAGAACATATCTGGAATGTTCACAGAGAGCTCCTGAGGTCTAGGAGAATGTTTTGGTGATCACTATTCCAACACTCAGTACAGAAAAAGATGGTTTTTAAAAATTGTTGGTGAATAAATACTTACTGGTATAAGCACAGCCTAGTACCGTTCTGGGTAGTTAGCAATCCCTTAATAAATGATAGCAGTTATTATGTGGAACTTCTAACAACATGATCCTTTATTCATGTTAGAATTAACATTCAGAAATGGTATAATTAATAGATAGATTGGAATAGACATTGTGTAGTACATGTGAATCAAAAATTTAAATTGCTATTACTGAAAATTATATTTTTTGATGTAATGATGCTATATAGAAACGGAAAAAGTTTTACTCCTATTTCATGAACTCCCACTGGGTTTATAGACTATGGTAATACATGTCATAAGATAGTTTTGATTGAATTTAATGTTGATAGTGGAAACATAATAAAACCTCAGTGAATGTCAACCGTCATAGAATTATTGGCAATTCCTCACAGGAGAGAGGACATGGTTTCGGGGAGAAAAAAAAGGCTTACTCTTATAGCCGTTCAGTAGAAAGCCAAGAATAGCTAGACCTCCTTTAAAAATACTGTGGATTAAAAATGAAGCTGAGGTGACCTCAGGACAAGTATAATACAGAGTTCTAGGGCATAGATGTTAAAGGGCAGCTGTTTAGTAAGCAGGGGTTACACTGTACTTTGCAGTACCAAACCTAATTATTACATAGACTGCAGAAGGCTGGTATACACTGTGATTTGGAGGAACCATGGTGTCCTAGAAAGGTACCTGTAGTGAAGATCAGGGTTATGCGCATCCCATTTCTAAACTGCAGTCCAGCAACCTGACTACTTTGGGTCTCTTTCAGGTCCATGCCAGAACAATTGCACAGTGCACCATGATGCTTGCCACTGTATCCACAGGTGAGTGAATAGCTCAAAAGACTGCTATAGAAATGGCCCTAGTTTTGTCAGCTTGAAACCTCTTTCATTTTCCAAACCTATTATGATACCGTGAAACAGAAAAAGTATGTGCTAGAGGTCGGAATCTCCAGATATCCTAAGTAGGAGTATTCTAATCTAGCTTTGAAAACCCTAATGTCAATTGGCAAAGAAAAAAAAAAAAACTAATCTTTTAGGCGGAAAGTTGATTTTTTTAGGGACCAAAAAATTAAATGTAAACTGGGATTCATTCATTCATTCATTCATTGATTCATTCAACATTTGAAGACCTAATGTGGGCCAGATACTCAGCCCTGGAAATAGATATGAGCCCTACCCTCATGGGGCTTATCACTGAGTGGATTAGCCAGACTTTGAAGTAAATGTACCATAAAGTGTTGAACAAAATTCCTAAATCGACGTTTATTTCCCAACAGAATCAGTGTTTAAATGTCACTATTGTTACTATTTGAGAGGAAGAGATTGTTTCTTTCCTTTTTTATTAAATCTCATCACATCTTATATTGCATTGGTGAGACTAAAAAAAATGTGTTTAGATTCAAGATTCTTAAAGATGGCTCGTCTAGATAAAAATAACAGTAATGGAGCTTTCGTGAAGTGTGCATAAAGTATTCTAATCACTCATTCTGTTGTTAATATTTTAGATTTAAAATATTTGCTTCATTTTCTATATACGTTTTCTGACTATCAGCAACTGATACTTTTAACACAGTGGCTGTAAAAAAAAAAATTCCTGTTTTTCAGTGATGCAATACTTTTCTAGATGGAATTACCATCCCTACTACATAATTTTCTGCTATCTTTTAATACATAGTCTTGATTTGTCAAATCAAAAGAGAAGGGGAAAAATCTAATCATAAGGATTATTCACTTCTTAAAGTCAAGTCTGCTTCTTCTCTGAAATTCAAATTTCTACAGGAATCTGTTGGTTCTGAGTAAAGAGGATGTTTCATCTTACCTTAAAAGCCTTCAAAGGGACTTTGAAAATCCAGGATTTCTTATCTTTCTCTTTGAAGACTGAAAGTGGCTCACTGTCTTGGACTTTTGCGTGACAATTTTGTACCTGCTGAAATTTAAACTCAGTTTGATAATTTTCTCAGCCAATCACTGTTTAGGATCCCTGATATGGGGTTATAAAGTGTCACCGTGTCTATGAAGCACATAATAACTTCCCCCACTTCCTTCACATACTGATATGTATTTGCTTACTGAACCATTCGGTTCCAAAGGGACCAGACTTACTTTCACTTAATTAAATAGCTCCTGGAAGGCTGTTTTGCATCTTAAATATAGAGAATCAGTGTAACATATCTGAAAAGAGCCACTTAAACTCTGTCACCCTGGCATTTCTTGTCTTACTAAGGTTGGCAATCTAAGAAAACTCTAGGTTTCTTTAGTAAATATGACTACCTATTTAAGACTCCTATCATTCCTGAGGTAGGTATTAAAGTTTCTGTGCTATAATTCAAGAAACTGTCCACATGCAACAGCCTGACATTGCCTGAGGGGTCTTTAGCATATATAAATAGTAACTCTCATGCAATCTCTCTGACCTAAAGAAATACTTATGTGAGGTTTAAGAATGGATCAGTTTAGTATTCAAACTAAATTTTAAAAATAGATATTCAAAATACCAAAATTATTGTAAGATACCTGGATATGCAAAAGTGCATACAGACAATATATTCAGCTCTCAGTTATCTCTCAGTTATTTGTGTTAGCTGTGAAGGACAAAATAGAAAACCAGATACTATTTTTAGCAGAAAGTTTTGCTACCCTGAACTCGCCATTCTATTGAACCCCATATGTATACCATAATGCAGGTATCCCTAAACCATTTATCTAGTCTGTGTGTTCAAAAACTTGACAATCTATGTCTCTTTGTATATTTCTTCAGAACTTTCAGGAATATTCCAATCTTTTCTTTATGTTATAATACCAAAGGATGTGAACCACATAAAAGCACTAATATACCACTACCTAACAGTGGTGAGTTCAGGATTTATATATAGAACTATTACAGGGAAAACAATAATGTTGAAAGAGAATGAAGGGAATGGAAAAAGGATTTGCCATGAAGTTGTGTCTTCATAACAAGCACTTTGTTTTTATTTAGACAGCATGTTTATATGGATAGCCTAAAGGGCTTAACCAAATTTTAAGGAGTCCTGAGTCACTCCTGGGAGCAACTCAATACCTTCTCTCACACAGAGACACCAGTGGAGATTAGTGAACTAAACTTCTCTTCCTTGTCCTTTGACTTGAATTAACATGATCTCAATAACTGATAGAACTAGTACAGAAAAATCATTGCTGATAAGATTTAAAGAGAAATATCAACCAGCTTGATCTAATTGGCATCCATTGAACACTTCATCCAACTATAGCAGAATAAACATTCTTTTCAAATGCAGGTGGAAGATTTACCAAGATAGACCGTATTCTAGGCCCCCCCAAAAAGTCTCAATAAATTTAAAAGAATTTGAGCCATGCAAAGTATGGTTACTGACCCAAAAAGAATTAAATTAGAAGTCAGTAACAAAAGAAAGAAAAAGAAATCAGTAACAGATCTCTGGAAAATCTGAATATTTGGAAACCAAATTACATACTTCTAAATAACCAATCACTAAAAGAGGAAACCAAAGAGAAATTCAAAATATATTGAATTAAATAAAAATGAAAACAGAACAATTGATCAAAATTTTCAGGATGTCACTGAAGCACTTCTTAGGGGGAAATTTATAGCACTAAATTCCTGTGTTAGGATAGAAAAAGGTCTCAGGGTGCCTGGGTAGCTCAGTTGGTTAAACATCTGACTCTTGATTTCAACTCAGGTTATGATCTCACGGTTGTAGGATTGAGCCCCCAGTCCAGCTCTGTGCTGAATGTACAGCCTGCTTGGGTTTCTCCCTCTCTCTCTCTGTCCCTCCCCTGCTCTCATGTGCTCTCTCTAGCCCTCTCTCTCTCTCTCTCTCAAATAAATTAACATTTAAAAAAAGAAGAAAAGAAAAAGGTCTCAAAACAATGACTATGGCTTCTGCCTTAAGTAACTAAAAAAAATTAAATTCAAATTAAGTAAAAGGAAATAAAAAATCAGAACTACAATCAGCAAAATAAAAATATTATAATAATAATAATAATAGAGGAAAATCAGTGAAACCAAGAGCTGGATTTTTAAGAAGCTTAATAAGATTTATCAGACTCTAATCAGACTAATCAGAGAAATATGAGAGAAGACATAATTATCAATATAAGGAATGAGAGAGATGAAAATACTACAGATTCTATAGACATCAAAAGACAAAAAGGGAATACTAAGAACAACTTTATGCCAATAAATACAACAATTTATAGAAATGGATAGATTCCTTGAAACCACCAGAGCTCACCCAAGAAGAAATAGATAAATAACTCTACATCTATTAAAGAAGTTAAATTCATAGCTAAACACCTTCCCCAAGCAGCCTCTTTTCATTTCATACTCTCTCTGTCCCTTTTAATCTAAGCTGTCAGTGTCTCCACTGATACAAATTTTTCAGGAAGCCTTCCATGAATTTCACTCAGTCATACAAATGTCATATCCACAGACCTTTCCACATAATCCCTTCTGTACCTTTGGCATTTGCTAAGATGACTAAAGGACAATGCCCTGAAACTTCTTAGAGGACCTCTGGTTTGAATTAAAAGATCCACAAAGAACCCTCTTAAACTCTTGCAAATATTCTGATCTTTGGATAACTTTCCTGGGTTTCAGCAAAGTGTTGTAGAGTCATACCCTCAGTCTTTTTTCTAGATCATGCCTTCCCGGCAGTGAATCTCTTAATTTTAGCATCTTTTGCTATTGGGGTGGCAGAGATTTTTCAGTTACTGTCAGGTACTAGTTCATTTTTCTTTAACAGTTCTCAATGTATTTATCTCCTCTTGCATATTACTATAAGCAGCAAGAAGGAGCCAGGCCCCATCTTCAACACTTTGCTTACAAATCTCCTTAACTGTATATCCAAGTTCATTGCTTACAAGTCTGCCACATAACTGCAGGACACAGTTCTGCTAAGATATCTTCCATGAAGATAACAAAAATTCTCATTCCTCCAGATTCCAGTAATGCTTTGCTTACTTCCTTCTGAGACCACACCAGCTATGACTTTAACATCTATATTTCTACTAACAGTCTTCCAGCCTCCACCCACTGGCAAATTCTAAAGCCACTCCCACGTTTTAGGAATTATAGCAGCACCCCACTTCCATGTTCAGAAATCTGTACTAGTTTTCTATTGCTGCCTAACAAGTTGCCAAAAATACTTCTGCTCTTAGAGATCTCATTTGACTGGGTTAGCTTTATCCAAATAATCTCTTTGCCTTAAGGTCAGCTGATTACTAAACTCAATTATATTTGTCAAATCCCTTTTGCCACATAATGAGACGTAGTCATGGAAATGATGCATCATCATATTTACACATTCTCCTCACACTCAAAGGAGTGGGGATTATATAAGCAGAAGGATCATTAGGGGTCATCTTAAAACTCTGTCTACCATACATTTTAATCTATAGCAAAGGAAATAGATCAGTGTCTTCATGGGCTGGGGGAAAGGTATAAAGAAGGGATGGTAAAGGGTCATGAGGAAATTTTTTTTTTAATGTTTTTATTTATTTTTGAAGGAGAGAGAGACAGAGCATGAGCAGGGGAGGAGCAGAGAGAGAGGGAGACATAGAATTTGAAGCAGGCTCCAGGCTCTGAGCTGCCAGCACAGAGCCCGACGCAGGGCTCAAACTCGCGAGCCGTGAGATCATGACCTGAGCCGAAGGACGCTCAACCCACTGAGCCACCCAGGCGCCCCGGAAATTTTGATAGATACTTTTTACTATCTTAATTGTGGTAATGGTTTCGCAGTTATATACATATATCAGAACTTATCAAAATATACACTTTAAATATATGCAGTTTATTATGCGTCAGT